AGATCAGGAGTTGAAAACCAGCCTGAACAAGAGCGAGACCCCATCTCTACAAAAAAAAAATAGAAAAATTAGCTGGGTGTCATCGCACATACCTATAATCTCAGCTACTCGGAGGCTGAGGCAGGATCATTTGAGCTCAGGAGTTTGAGGTTGCTGTGAGCTATGATGAAGTAACTGCACTCTAGCTGGGGCAACAGAGACAGACCCTGTAAAAAAAAAAAAAGGAAAGGAAAAAAACCCAAAATAATGAAGTCCCATTGCCCAAAGACAACTTCTGTTTGGTAGATTTGCTTTTCATGTGTTGTTTTTTTTCCCTCCCCAAAAGGAAGAATTGGCAGTCTGCACAGACACTGACCCACCTGTGTGTTATTTCTTTCAGCGTAACTGGCGGAAACCCAGAGGTATTGACAACCGGGTTCGGAGAAGATTCAAGGGCCAGATCTTGATGCCCAACATTGGTTATGGGAGCAACAAGAAAACGAAACATATGCTGCCCAGCGGTTTCCGCAAGTTCCTGGTCCACAACGTCAAGGAGCTGGAAGTGCTGCTGATGTGCAACAAGTGAGTTGGGTCCCACCTCTGGGTTCAGGGGTCAGAAGTTTGTGAACGTTTCTGACCGGAATTCCAGATCCTCTGGGATGCTTTTGGACTTGTACAGTTTCTGAGGAAATCTGAAGTTTCTTGCAGAAGTTGAGAGAATGCTCATTGGGGAATTCAAAATGTTTGCTTTGCTGGGGAGTGGAGAGGCTTTTGTCCTCAAGAGTAGAGACCCAAGACAAAAAGGACTTTGCTTGACACTGAAGTGTCTTTTTGGCAGTCATTTCCAGGACGTTGCTTTATTTATGAGGGGGTAGGGGGAAGATCAAACATAGCTTCAGACCTTAAAGGATACTTTATTCTCCATGTTACTAAGGGGTATGTCCAGAATGCCATGGGAACAGAGGAGTTGGTACCTGACTGGGGCAGGAGGCCTTGAGAGCCAAGTGTGAACTAGGTGGAGAAAGGGAAGACTTTGCAGGCAGAATGCTTACACAGAGGGGTAGAGATGGAAGAGCGTGTGGAGGGTTCACAGAGCATTAGTTCTAGGTGTTTCGAGCCGTTAGACACTTGGTGACTGTTGTGTGTAAGAGACTTGGTGATCTGCTTTGGCTAAAACTAGGGCAGCGGAATGAAAAGACTTAAAAGATTTCTCATGGGAAGTGAGTTAGACACTTTGTATGAGTCTGGATTGGAGGGAATGATATTTTTTGGTTAAGTAGAGGGCAGCTTATTGTCTTCCCTTCCTGGTAAATGGAAGCCAGAAAGCTGGATTTTCCTAAGAACATGGAGAGAGCGTGACTAGTAACGTTTGTGTAGGTGCATGTCGATGAAGATCTTTTATTTACAGTGGTTGTAGACACAATAATAAAAATGAACAAAACCAGTATTCTGACTTTGTTGCCTTCCAAGATTGGAAATTTAACCAGGCATTGAAACTCTGGAAACTTTGAGAAGGGATGAATGTAGGAATTAATGGTGGATGCCCAAACCACAGTAAGTTTTGGCAGTTTATGGGCAATTGGATTGTGAAAGACAGATACAACTCAGTACCTGTTATGTAGCCACCATGATTAGTCATCGTTTGCGGTGCACATGTTGCCAGTTGCCATATATTTTTAAGAGCAGCTTAGTGTTTTTAAGATCCATAGAAGTACTCTGTATCTATGACCTTTGATCTACAAGTTCCATTTTAGGGCATTTATCCTTAAAGCATTGAAAAAGCAAGGAAACTAAATTTGGTTATTGCAACAATAACCAATTGGAAACAACTGAAAATGTCATTAGTAAACGGTAGAGTACTTGATGGAACGTTGTGTGTCCACTTAAAGTGATTGGTGTGTAGCAGTATGGAAAATGGGCAAGTGAGTGGGTGCATTTAAAGTGGTAGGTACACTCGGTCCTTACCAAATAAGCAGATAGTAAGGATAAGGGGTTTTTGAAAAAGGAAAACAGATTGAAAAGTGTAATACAACCTAAGTTTCATAGAAACATTTGAAAATATAGCTACTTTGAATTTGAGTGGACTTCTATATAAAACAAAAATTCTTTGTCTGGATTTGCTCCCGTCTTGTTAAGGTTATTTTCCTGCCGGTTCAAGAACTGTATGCCCATTGTCTCATTTAATCACTCCTTACAGTCCTCTCTGTGCTGAAGTTGCTTTAGGGGTGGAAGGTCTGTTCTTAACCCACTGTTGGATGGCTTCATAAATCACCTCATTAAGCCAGTCAGCTACCAAACTGGGGCATGGTTTAACTGCCTCTTAAAAGGTGTAAGGAATGAATTAGAACACAGCCTGGCGCACCAGTACTCAGGAAATAGGTGTTGCTTCTCTTCAATTGTATCCTCAGCAGTCAAGCTGGGAGCCCTTGGCTCAATTCAGACAGTTGGACTCTGCTCTTGGTCTCTGCAGAGTTGCAAAACTTTTCATGGGCAAGCCAAGCACCCCAAGACTGAGGGAGAACCTTTGAACCTGGAGTGTGGGCATGGCTTCATCCTGGCCCCCTGGCCCCTGCCCATTTCTTGCTGTGACTTGGAAATTCATGTCCTTTATGGGCCTTGGTTTCCTCATCTGTAAAATGGAGGTAATACCTGGATTATAAGGCTGCTGTGAGGATTAAATGAGAAGGGACAAGGAGAGTGCTTTGTAAATTAAAGCCTTCTTGTCACTACCAGGGAGCACCGTTACCATGGCATCGGGAGTTGGGGTTGGGGGGCGTTGCACTGCAGCAGCCATTTATCAAGCAGCCCTCTTTGCTTGGTGGTAAAGTGACCCCAAACCATTGCCTTCCTGGTGGAATTTTCTAAGTGTGTTTTCAGGACTGTCTTGCTCCTTACCCACTCACTTGATTCTCTTCCAGATCTTACTGTGCGGAGATTGCTCATAATGTTTCCTCCAAGAACCGCAAAGCCATTGTGGAAAGAGCAGCCCAGTTGGCCATCAGAGTCACCAATCCCAATGCCAGGCTGCGCAGTGAAGAAAATGAATAGACAGCACATGTGCACATTTTATTTGTGTTTAAATAAAACCATAAAAACTGCCATCTGGCATCTCCTTCCTTTTAGTCTTCAGATTCTTTACCAACTTTGACAGCTTGTCACAGAGATTGTTCTTTTGCCTGTTAAAACCCTTTGGAATCTTCCATTTGGGAGGGGTTTGTAAAGAACATTAGATCCTTGAACAGGGAACATGGCCTCAGGCACCCAAAACTACTAGTCCTGGTCAGCTCCAGTTGGGGCTGGGGACAAGGGGGAACGACTTGGCCCTCACACCAAGGTGGGCTCTGATACACTTGATTAAAGAAGCTTGTGGCTCCCAAGCAATAGGTGGTCTTCTTACCCTCACTTTGTAAAGTTGGGTGACAGTTATCCCATGTGGTTCTTGTGAGAATTGAGAAAATGTGCGTGAAAACATCCAGATGAATTTATTATGCCCTTAAATTCTTATGGGATTCCTAAATAGCATCATATAACTGTCTGTCCCAAAATATACAACAGGATGATGCACAAATTGTTCTTTTATATGATCTGCCTTGGTTATTGGAAGATTGCTCTTTCTCTTATGTAATAATCTCTTTCCCAGTTGCTCTTCAGGCATAATTTTCCCAAGATGTGGGGTCTTTCTAATTGGTGATAATTAGGCCTCTTGATGGGTACTCATTTGATTTTTTTAGAGATGGGTTTTGCTATGTTGCCCAGGCTGGCCTTGAACTCCTGGGCTCAAGTGATCCTCCTGCCTCAACCTCCTGAGTAGCTGGGACAATAGGCACATGCCACTATGCCCAGCTAAGTTTTTTTAAGAGAGAGGGTCTCACCATGTTGCCCAGGCTGGAGTATTCCAAATTAACATGACTGAGTTCCCTTTTTAACTATAGCCCTAAACCTTCCTTAGACAATAACAGCTAGAATTTAGCATCATTGTTTTAATTATAAGGTTGTGATTCTACTTTTCCATTAATGGTATTAAGTGATAGTCTAGGTCACAAGGGATGTGGTGTATGGTATTTGTTAGTGTAACAAGACTGAAGTGCTTACAGGATGTTTCTCTAACAGTCCTGGTCAACCCAGCAGAAATACTGCACTGGCCACAGTAGTAAAACTGGGCGTGCTCGTCACTACTGGACTTAAGTCCGGTCATTCCACCAGATAAACATCTTACAGGCTGTCTGTCTTGTTCAAAACCTAGTCTTAATTGTGGAATGAATTGGTCATTTTCAGGATTTCTTTAAATTGACTTGGAGGTATATTGAAGATAGTGGTCTAGTTATTGGGGATAGGAATTATGTAGAGAAAATGTAAATTTAGGATCTATTCTTTATTAACCTGGAATATCACAGAAAATACTTTGGCCTGTCACTTGTATTTCTGTGTCTTCAATACTAAAAACTAGAAATGACATTTGAAACCTTTCTCAGGACAAACTGGTTAAGCCTGAGTGGTGACAAAAGGTTTCATTTCCTAATTCACTAGTGTTTTTTCTGTTTTTAAATTTTAAAAATGCTTTATTTAACTCCAAATATCCAAATTATCATTTTAAGATCTCAATATAAAAATTGAGATATTTTACATTTTTTTCTAGTGTTTAAAATCCAGTGCAATTTTTATACATAATAGTATATCTCAAGTGCTCAATTGCCATACATGGGCAGAGCAATTTTAGATTTGTTTTCCCTTTCACATTCCAATTTACTATCAATAGTATTTTGAAATTAGAAATTAAACATTAGGTCCAAGCCTGTCCAGTTCCCTACCCCATCTGTTCTCCCTGCAAAAAACCCCTTAACATCTTCCGAATTTCTGATTCATCACTGCCAATTAGAAATGAAGCATTTGATTTTTAAAATGTGAATAACTCAAGTATCTGAGGCTTTTTGAGATGCCCAGCCAGGGCCCTAACTCCTGGCATTGCAGAGTCCAGATCAATTCATTGAAGAAATGGGATTGGGGGGCGGTTCTGCTGCCTCCTAACCTCTCACAGCTGTCACAACCTATTTCTAAGTACTAGTTTGTGAAGCAGGGACTCCCCTGTTTGAAGGAACCAGACTATGGAGGGGTACAGTGTGAAGTGTCACTGGAAAATTCTCCGTTTCTTTGGATGACTGTCCTGAGTTAAAGGGCCCAACTGTTGGCAGCCTCGAAGCTTGGGCTGGGGGCCTGTGAGTTTGGGTCCCTGGGGAAGGCACTGTAAGCCCTGACGAGGAGCAGGAGGGCCCCCAGTGAGATGATGGAAGGATAAGTAGAACCCTAAGGCCTATGATGGTGGGAGGGTGAGGCCTCGGGCTTGGCTGGGCTCCTTTTAAGTAAGGGCCCACCTGGGCACTGGGGGAGCACTAGCTGAGCTCCATCGAGTCCATGCTGGGGGCTAAAGCAGAATCCTTCTGGATGCTTTCAAAGAGGGTGGCAAGTTCAGGGTTGGATCGGATTTGGGAGGAGAAGTCGGCCATGATGGGGCTTTTCCCCACCTCCGGGATGGTCAGCAGGGCGGCCACTGCCCTCATCGCAGAGCGCTTCAGTTCATCTTGCTTCTCAAACTCCTGCTTCACAGAACCAGCTTTGACCTAAAGTGGGAAACAATGAAAGAAGCAGCTGTCCTTTGTTGAGCCTGGCCTGCACCACCACGTCCTCACTGGTCTTTGGCTTCTTCTCTGCCCTCTGTGGTCCTCCCCACCTGAAATCCCAGCCCGCACCTCCCCTGCTCCAAGGTCTCCAGAGCTATTTCTTTAGCTCCGCCTCTGGGCTTTCACACTGGCTGGTGGTTTCTTTGCCATTCAAATAAGCTTCAGTGTTGCCTGCAGGGCTTCTGCCCAGACAATCTAAATAGCTCACCTTTATTTTTGTTAAAGGCCAGTGGTGGCTCACACCTGTAATCCCAGCACTTTGGGAGGCCAAGTTGGAGGACTGCTTGAGGCCAGGAGTTCAAGACCAGCCTGGGCAACACAGTGAGCCCGCATCTCAACAAAAAATAGAACAATTAGCCAGGCATGGTGGCATGCACTTGAAGATTGCTTGAGCCCAGGAGTTCAAGGCTGCAGTGAGATATGATTACTACCACTATGCTCCAGTCCAGGTGACAGAGTAAAAAATATAAAAAAAAAATAATGATAATAAATAATTTGATAGAGACTAGTACTGTATTCGCTTAGTTATCTCCTCCCACGGACAGCAGGGAATCCAGCCTATACTTACTGTGCGTAAAAGTGGCTCTCGGTACCATGGACTAGACTGAATGGAGAGTGACAGTCTTAGCGGCCTCTTCCCACACTCTCGTCCCTGCCCTGCAATCCCTTCTACAGATGGAGCTGCAGAGTAAACATCCAAAACTGCCCCCTGTGGCTCTGCCCCCAAGAGCTGTGCTTCAGGTAATCACTTCCATGCATCTCCTTTCCCTATTTGTAAATAAGAGCCTCCTTTTCCATAGGGTTGCTATGAGAATTAAATGACTGAACACAGGTCCATACTCTCTTCTCTGAAACCCTCGGGGCCAGATGTGCTTTGGAATCCAGGATTCCAAAAGCATTATGTTATTAGAAAGGGAACACTGTGCAGATAACATTAATACCCTGTATTCAATACATTAATATTTCTCCTGCTAACTGTATGCAAAATATATAAATATTTTGAGTAGTACAGCTGTCCCTTGGTATCTGAGGGGGATGGGTGCCAGGACTCCCGAGGATACCAGAATCTGTGGATGCTCAAATCCCTGATGTAAAATGGCACAGTATTGGCCATGACCGAGGCACATCCTCCTGTATATTTTAAATCATCTCTAGATTACTTATAATCCCTAATATAAGGTAAATGCTATGGAAATAGTTGGTTATACTGTATTGTTTTGTTTCAGTTTTTAAATTGTATTGTTATTTTTTATTGCTTTTTTTTTTCAGATATCTTCAATCTACAGTTGATTCTGCAGATGTGGAACCCACAGATATGGAGGGCCAACTATATAATAAAAGGAAATTAAAGATCATTGCCTCATGCCAGTTCAAGTTTTGTTGTCAAACAAGTTACTAAAAAGATTTTGGTTTTCAGAGCTTGGTAGGTTTCAGAATCATGGATAAGTGCCCAGTGCCCAACAAGCAGCATCCTCTGTGTGGCCAGATGGAGTGGCTTTTGTGGGACCTCAGAATAAAGCTTCTCAAATGATGGTGATCTAGCACCTCTTGTATTACCCTGGATAGAGCTGGAGCTTATTCTACTAAGTGAAGTATCCCAAGAATGGAAAAACAAGCACCACATGGACTCACCATCAAACTGGTTTTAACTGACCAACACTTGTGTGCACATATAGTAATAACATTCATTGAGTGTCGGGCAGATGGGACGGAGGAGGAGGGGATGGGCATATACACACCTAATGGGTGCGATACACACCGTCTGGGGGATGGACATGCTTGAAGCCCTGACTTGGGTGGGGCAAGGGCAATATAGGTAACCTAAACATTTGTACCCCCATAATATGTGGAAATAAAGAAAAAGAAAAATCCCAGCTCAACAAAAAAGAATAAAGCTTCTCTTGCCATCTTGGCCGACTGCAAGAACATTCTGATGCTGCAACACCATTTATAGCTTCCCTCGTGTGAACTGGGACTTTTCTTGATGCCATACAGCTAAAAGAAAACTAGAAATGATTTGGCCACTGAGACTGTCAAGACTTCAGTGGCCCTGCAGAATCATCGGGGTTTTTGATTGACTTGATACTAAGCATATGTTAAAAATTTAGACTTACAAGGCAAGTTTCTATTAATAAATTACCAATTTTAATGTTTTGTACACATAAGATTGCATTCCTTTTGCAGAAAAGGTTTTGCTACTGGGAAATCACCACTCTCTGGGTATCTCTTCTCTTTAAGCTCCAATCCAAAATGCTCTGCCCTTTTTGGTTAATCCCTTGCAAAACCCAAATTCGTTCTTTCACTCACTAGGTGTTTACTGGGTACCCCCTGGTGTGCCAGGCTCTGTTCCCAACACTGCAGCTTTCCCTGAGACATTCAGTCCTGGATCCCTTGCCCAGACCTGTAAGGCACTCCACTCCAGCAGGACTTTGCCTTAGAGCCACCAACCACAAGTCTGACCCAGCTTTCCGACCAGGATGTGAGCAGATTGAGAGTAGGGAAGCTATTGTGTTCAAAAATCCCAAGTACCTTGGACAAGGCCTGGCACCCAGGAAGTGTTTAATAAATGAAAGAAAGAAAAAGAGCTGGGTTTGAATCCAGCTCTGCAATTTACTAGCTGTGTGGCCTTGGCCAATAAGAACCTCCTGGAACCTCTGTTCCTCCGCGTATACCACGGTTAAGAAGAAGTACTTTATGGAGAAAAGAGAATGATTAAATGAAGCTCTTCACACAGCAGCGGCACTACAGGCACTTCTCAGAGAGCGGTAACTGAATGACCTGCAGAGGATCCAGCAGGTGCTCCGGGGCCTGGGCAGGGGGCTTACCTTGGTGGTGCAGGTGGCCCTGAGTGGCTCAATAAGCCGGTCCACCCTCTGCAGGACGGGCGCAGGACACAGGGTAGCCAGCCGGGCAAGCATGATGAAAGTCAGCATCTGCCCAGAAGGAAGGAGACAGAGTTCTCGGTGAGATGGCGCAGGAGGGAAAGGAGCAGGCTGGCCCGCGGGAGGAGCAGAGGCTCCGCCCACCACGCCCGGAGCCCAAGTTCAGACACGGCAGAGTCCCACCAGGGCCTGTTTCCTCATGTATAAAATGTGAATGGTAATACTTTCTCTGCCAACTACGCTTGGCTAATCTGAGGAGGATCGGATAAGAAGAGGCACGGAGAGGGGGTGGGGGGTGGTTCTCAAGCTCAGAGGCCCACGGGGTCTGTAGAGGACACCTTTGTCTGGGAAAGTTTCCTTGTTGTTCTTCTCAAGAACATGTCTGTGACCTTGCACGCAAGTCCAGAGCGTCCTCTCTCTGCAAACAGGAGGGGCTAGGGAATTGAGATGCAAACATCTGTTTGCCGGAGACGAAACAACAAGGAACTGGGACGTGTTGAGTCGGGACGGTGTGGGAACAGAGAACTTGCAGTGGGACAGTTGCCAAACAGCCTGTATTATAAATAAACAGCTATGGCGAAAGCTTTTCGCTACAGCCTCATATTGTCTTGTGGTGTCTGTGTCTTTTTGTACGGGCTGCAGTCATGTGTCTGCGTCTTTATGTCTCTGTGTTCATTCCTCGGTCTGAAGCCGGGCCACGTCAGGGTCGAGTGGAGAGGGCCAGCTGGGGACTGCTGGGCTCAGTGGGTTGTGGCTACGTGGGAACGTAGGGATGTGGCCCCGGGCCACTGGATTGTTTTCGAAAGAAACCATGATTTTCATGTAAAATCTCTCCATTTTTAAACATTGGCACCTGATTTCAAAACAAAATAAAAACTGTGAGCCAACTAAATGCAGCTTGAAAATGGGTCAAATCCCCACAAAGGATCCTCACACAGCATAAAGGGTAGGTGCCTGAAATCTGCACGTCCTCCCCATCCCCACCGGCCCTGCCCTGACCCCTACACCCCACGGCAGAGGAGGCTGGGCCCACAGCAGCAAGGAGCCTGGCACTGGCTTCGCCAGCGATGGCTCTCGGCTCCTCCCCTTCCCAGCTGTGCCCTCGAAAATGCCCAAGCAACTTAAGCGTGGAATGGTGACCTCGATGGAAATGGGAATTCCTGCAGCCGCGAAAGGTGACAGTGAGCACTGATACATACTGACGAGGACAGAACGACATACAGTAAAGGCAAGGTCAAAGATCAGGGGACAAAACAGCACAGGTAGTGTGATCTCTCTGTAACACATCTCACACACTCACCGCCAAGGCTCTGAGAGCAAGAACCCTGCCTGCCACGCTGACCTCGGGTGTTGGCACTCATGAGTGTTGCCCGACTAACGGGTGAGTGTCTGTGTGCACAGCCCAGGAAACACTGGGATTACAACAGGTCTCTCTAGGTGGAGGCAAGTTTTGGGGTGATTATTATTTACATCTTTATTTGCTTTCATTTTGTGTGATCTTTTAAAACAAGCAGGTATTAGTTTTGATTACTTTGTATTGGTTTTTCATCATAAAAGTGATTTGCTCTTTCACGTCCTCACTTCCAAGATGACAAAGGAAAGAAGGAACAATGGTCGTACCAAAAGGGGCCATGACCACGTGCAGCCTATTCGCTGCACGGACCGTGCCCAATGCGTGTGTAGGGACAACGCTATTAAGAACTGCATCATTCGGGCCAGGCGCAGTGGCTCACGCCTGTAATCCTAGCACTCTGGGAGGCCGAGGTGGGTAGATCATTTGAGCTCAGGAGTTCAAGACCAGCCTGAGCAAGAGCGAGACCCTGTCTCTATTAAAAATAGGAAGAAATTAGCTGGACAATTAAAATGTATATAGAGAAAAAAAAATTAGCCGGGCATGGTGGCGCATGCCTGTAGTCCCAGCTACTCGGGAAGCTGAGGCAGAAGGATCGCTTGAGCCCAGGAGTTTGAGGTTGCTGTGAGCTAGGCTGACGCCCAGCACTCTAGCCCAGGCAACAGAGCAAGACTCTGTCTCCAAAAAAAAAAAAAAAAAGAAGTGCATCATTCGGAACATACTGGAGGTTGCAGCCGATAGGGACTTTTCTGAAGCGAGTATCTGGGGTGCCTACGTGCTTCCCAAACTGTATGTGAAGCTACACTGCTGCATGCGGTATGCCACTCACAGCAAGGCAGTCAGGAATCGTCCTCAGGAAGCTGGTGAGGACAGAACTCCCCCACCCGACTTAGACCTGCAGGTGCTGCCCCACGACCCCCACCAAAGCCCATGTGAGGAGCTGAGTCCTTGAGCACTGAAGAAATACTATCCTTTGGAAAAAAATAAAATGGAAATTATACTTTAAAAAAAAGTGATTCATGCTTACAGTATATATTTTAAAAAGATGCAGTATGGCGCTTCCTCAAAAAAATTAAACACAGGATTATGATACGATCCAGCAAGTCCACTTCTGGGTATATACTTAAAAGATTTGAAAGCAGGAACTCAAAAGGATATTTGCACACCTGTGTTCACAGAGGCATTACTAACGACAGCCAGAAGGTGAGAGCACCCAAATGTCCTTGGACAGGCGAATGGATAAACAAAATGTGGTCTGTCCATACAATGGATGTTATTCAGCCTTAAAAAGGAAGGCGATTCTGACATCTGCTGCGACATGGATGAACCTTGAAGACTTAAATGCTAAGTGAAATAAGTCAGTCACAAAACGACAAATAAATACTGTATGATTCCACTTACAAGAGGTTCCTAGAGTAGTCAAATTCATAGAGCACAGCGCTTAACAGGGACAGAGTTTCAGTCTGGCGGATGCAAAGAGTTCTGGAGAAGGACGTCGGAGATTGTTGCACAACAGTGTGAACGTACTTAATGCCACCGAACACACTTAAAAATGGTGACAGTGGTAAATTTTGTGTTATGTATATTTACCATAACAAAAAAGGATTACTATTATACATGTGAATAAACTTTAAAATTTTTAAAAATGATACAGAAGGATGTAAGATGAAGAAACCTAAGTCTCCTCACTGCCCCACCAGCCCCAGCCTCGCTCCCTCAGTTAACAAAATGGCCCGAACTTCAAGAACTAGCTCTTGTCACTCAACAGTGGGGCTTGGCGCTGTTTCGTGTCAGTACCTGAAGAGACCCAGCTACTTTTTAACGCTGCTAGTACCCCGCAGCTGCAGGCACCCCGTCCACCTAGCCAGTTCTCCACAGCTGGGTATGTAGGTAGCTGCCAGCTTTTCCTGATTCCCAGAAGGCTTGTACATAAAACTCAGAACATGTGTCAGCCAGCCCAGAGGCTTTCTTTGCACGTGGGTCAAATGAGATGAGATGGAATTGCTCGGTCAAAGGGTCAAAGGTCAAAATGTCAGGGGATTTAAAATTTTTCTAGTTACTGCCAAGCCGTCCTCCGGTGTACACTGCCACCGAAGGGCTTTCAGACATGGGTCCTTTTTCTTATCAGAAAACAACATGCAGCTATTTTCACAGGGGTCCTGGAGTAGGGAGCAGGGACAAACAAGCATGGGCCCAGTGGTGCCTGGCTGTCCCTTGGTATAGGTGGGCATGGGTCTGGCAGGGGACTCGGTCCTACCCGGATGTCATAGTGGTCCTTCAGCCCATCCTCCACGTGGTTAAGGAACTCACAGATGTCCAGCTGGCCCAGGCAGCTCTCGAGCAGCGAGTACATACACTCGAAAGCCGCCTTCCGCACGTCCAGCCCGTCGTCCACCGTGTGCTTAAAGGGCCCCATCTCCACCTATGGGGGAGAAGAATGATGAAAGCGTGGGGGGTGTGGCCGCCGGGTGTAAGAACACCTCTCCTAGTTCCTGCTACGAACCCCACACCTCTGTTCAACACTGTGTTGAACCCCAAATCGTCCCTTACACTCTCAAGTCTCCATGTCTTTGCTCAGCCTTCATGGCCCTTTCCGCCAGGTGACAACAGCAGTAGTAACAATTACCGTCTGAGTGCCGGGCACCGCGCTTGACGTCTTACTCAAGCATCACAACCGCCTTCGGAGGCAGAAGTTATTATCAACTAAGGCTCGGACAGGTTAATTAACTTGCCCAAGGACACACTGCTACTAAGTGGCTGAACCAGGATTAAAGACCCAGGTCTGTCTGAAGCTTTTAACCACGAGGCTTTGTTCTGAATGGTAAACTCCTTTCCACTACTCAAAGCCCAGCTCAAATGCCCCCTCTTTCGGGAAACTTTTCCAAGCTGTCTAAATAGAGTTGCTACTCCTCAGTGTTGCCAGATGGTTCAGGCCTTTTTATTACATTGTGTGGTAACTTAGCTGTTAAATCACCTTTAGTCTCTCCCCTTAAATAAATCCTTACTTCAGCAAGTGGGCTCTAAATATGTTAAATCCAGATGCTCCTCGACTTACAACAGAGTTACATCCCAATAAACCCATAAGGTGAAAACACGGTAAGTTGAAAGTGCGTATTCAACTTACAATATTTTCAATTTGTGATGGGTTTATCTGGACACAACCCCATCGTAAGCCGAGGAGCATACTGAATGCCCATCGCTTTCGCACCATCATGAAGCTGGAAAATAGTAAGTCAAGCCACTGTAAGTTGGGCACTGTCTGCCATCAGTAGAGTGGGCATCTGTCTCCTTTGGGAGGCCATGATGAGCTCTTGGGAAGCAGAAACCACGTCTGGTCCAACTCTGAGTGTGGGCACGCAGGCCCAGCACAGGCCCTCGGGGAACACCCGCTGCACGCTGGCACCTCCCAAGAGCCGGCCGTGCGCCGGGAGCACCCTGGGCACCGACGGGACGTACCTCGTTGGATCTCTGCGGCACCCTCATAGTGCAGACATGATTATTGTCCTCATGTTGCTCAGAGAGGATTAGGCTGCCCTGGAACGGGTCATGCAGCTGGGATGTGGAGGGCAGGACCTGACCCAGGCGACGTGGCCCCAGAACCTGCTTTGATGAGCTTTACCCTGGTCCTCGCCACAGCCTACCATTGAGGCACAAGAGGCGGTGTCCCCAAGTTCCCAAAGCGGGCAACCAGCAAGGAGCTGGACCATACCCAGAGCTCCCAGCCCTGCTCCTCACCTCTCGGATGAGGTCCCGGCGGATCTTTGTCTCCTGGTAGAGGAGGGGCAGGATGTCGTTCAGCAGGTCCCGGACCAGCGAGGGCTTGTTGTGCACGGCCGAGTTGAAGAAAGCCAGAGTGGCACGGCGCACGTTCAGGTCTGGGTCCTGCAGGCTCTCCATGAATTCTCCTGACAGGAGGACGTGACGGGCGTGAGGGGCCCACAGCCAAAACACAAAACCACCTCGCCTCCCCCTCAACTATCTGGTGACTGTGAGCTGTGCGGACCTGGCTGAACGAGGGCGAACGTGTTCTGAGAGTCTACTTTGTGCCAGGCATAGCAACCCTTCAAAGTCCAGATGAGGATGTGGGCTCAAGGCCGGCCTGGCCTCCAATCCAGGCTCTACCTCTTAATTATGGGACCCTGGACAGCCTTAATGTCCTCATCCGTAAAATGGGGGTCATACCAGTACCTACACTGTAGGACTGTTTTTAGCTTTAAAAATGTGGTAATGCTTTAAAAGCACACAGCAGAATGCCTGATACAGAGCAAGGACTCTACAAATGTTAACTTGATATCACAGATGAGGCTCCTGAAGATCAGAGAGGTAAAGAAACTTAAACAGAGTCACATAGCACTTCACAAAGTATACCTTTGTGTATATTGCTATGATGTGAATGTCCCTGCTAAAACCCATGTCTAAATTTAATTGCCACTGTGATGGTATTAAGAGCTTGGGCCTTTCAGAGGTGATCAGGTCATGGGGGTGGAGCCCTCATGAATGGATTAATGCCCCTATCACAGGAGTGGGTTATCCTGGGAGTGGGATCCTGTTAAAAGGATAAGTTCGGCCCCCATCTTGTCTCTCTGTCGCCTCTGCTCACGTCTGCCTTCTGCCCTTCTGCCATGGATGACCTGCGCCAGGTGCTGGCGCCATGCTGTTGGACTTCTCAGCCTCCAGAACTATGAGAAATAAATTTCCTTTCTTTATAAATTACCCAGTTTGTGATATATTCTGTTATAGCAGCAGAAAATGAACTATGACAATATAGTTCAGGCTTTGCGGAAGTGTGTTAATGTTTTATATACTTAACAAATAAGTAAAATCAAGGATGGGGGATCCCTAGGTGGAAAAAACTTAACTGTATTTAAGATGATCAACATAATCACCCAGGTTACAAAGGTAACAACTAACACAAGCCACTTCCACATGGGGTATTTTGACTAGATGTCCTCTGGCTAAAGATAAAATAACTCTGCATGCATACTAACTTCGCACAGAGATAAGGGTCTGTAATTCTCAGACTACTTTCTGTGAATTTCAGGATTAAGAAAAGGAGTATTTTGTAGATAATGAGAGCTGGGTTTCTCCCACAGAAGGGAGTTAGGGATATGGAAGGGGAAGGCTAGAATGAGCCCTGAGGTGCAGACTGCAATAGGGGCGGCTGTGAGCTCAGGCCTGGATGAGGAGGCTGAGCCTCTGGTGTGGCCCAGTTAAAGGCTGAGGCTCCAAGCTCTGAAGGGGCAAGGGGTCTGCCTTGTCTAGGAGAAACCTGGTCCTGCAGAGCCCCAGGGGATAGGCTCAGCCTCCTCCCAGCGAAGGCTGCTTGGGCTCCTCAGGCCAGAAGGCACCACAGACAGGGGACCATCTGGGGAGCCGCTCTTCCTCGCCTCACTTTGGTGCCTGCAAAAGCTAGGGCGTGTGAGAGGCCGTGGAGCATCTTTTCCCTCAGCAGCCCATGGGGCTCCAAGACAACCCTGGGGGTTGCGTAAGAGCAGCGCACACCCTTTGACGGACCAGGAGAGTGAGGTTCAGAGGCGAGAAGGGCATGCCGGCTTGCCTAATGATTCCGTGGCAGCGGGCAGGCAGGGACCCATTGTGCCGGCCCGGTATCCTCCCGGGTCTCCAACTCCCCTCGGCTTTTGTAAAAGAAACATCAGCCCGAGCTCAAGGCCTGGGTGGGGGGACGGAACAGCGCTGGGGGTAGCAAGGAGGCGCTCACCAATGAAGCTCTTCAGGAGGGGGTCGATGGGATGGGGCTGGTCTGAGATGAGGAACTTGACCGCCGTGATGACAGTGCTCCGGGTGTGTGGCCGACCTGCAGGGTAAGAGGAGACTTAGCAGGGGCAGGGGCCATCCTGAAGGTGGGAAGGCGTCAAGGCTCTCCCCTGCCTCTGTGGAAGACGGAACTACACCCCTTCCCCTCTCTGGGGCAGTTGATGCTACCAGTTTCCTCGGCAGCCTTGAATCACCCCTAGACTCTTCCTGCTACAGCTGAGGGAGACGGCCAGTTCTCGGGTAACCACGCTGCACGACGCACGTGGAGAAACAACAGCCCAAGACAGTGGCCACTCAAAAAAAGACTGCCTTTAGGCCTCGGGACTACATTAAATTTTTCAGACACATTATCCCAATTAATCCTCAGGATGATCCTATTAATTAACAAATAATGATAAAATAACATTAGTTTAAATAATAAAAATGATTATTAATCTCTATTTTACATGAGGAAAGGGAGACTCAGAGAAGTTAAGTTCGCGTCTAAGGCCACACAGTAGCAGCGCCAGACTTCCCAGGCTGGGCCTTCCTGCTGGGCCCCCACTCTCCAGGCAGGGGCCGGCTGTGCCCCAGGCAGGCTTCAGGCCAAGGGGGCTCCAACGGAAGGCAGATCAGCCCCAAGCTTGGTGATGGGGAACTCGCTCAATGTGCTTTGCTGCTTGCTTTCTGAGAAGCTGAGGGAAGAGAGGGAAATACACTCCCCTTAATGGTGAAGGAAGTAACTCGGCAGATGCCCCTCATGCCTCGGAATCTCCCCTGAACTGCTTGCTCCTCTCCGCCGCCCGCCCCCAGCACACTGTAGCGAATGGGTTATAGCCTCGAGGCGAGAAAGTTCATAATTTGGAGCTAGGTATGAATGCAGAAGAGTTACTGAATTCACACTTCTAGTTTTTTCCTCTCTCTCTTTCCACCCTGACGGCTCCCAGGAAGACCTGGGGGCTGATGAAGACGGGCACAGCAGGACAGGATTAAGTGAACTGAAAAGAAGGAAAGGAGGCCAAGGACAACTAAGGGCAGGGAGGTGAGATGCAGACCTGGACGGGGGCTGCACAGAAAGCGCCAACCAGGAAGTCCCAGGAACTTGCTAGAAGCAGGCCACTAATTTGGCTCTAAGCTTCCCAGCAGCTGGTGGTAAAAAGGCAATGTGACCAGGTAGCTGGTTCAACTGGGCGTGGGACAGAAACAAATTGATGCTTAGACAAAGCAGGGCTCCCCCTCATCTTCAGATGCTTGGAGCCTCGTGCCATGTAACAGATGATGTCCTCCACGGTGTCCTTCCTGCACACTCGGTGCTGAGGGCCAGACAACCAGCAACCAAGAGGGCCCTGACTGTGATCACAACACACCTAGCAGCACTAGCGGCCTGTGATATACTCAGCTTTCATTCCTGCAGTACCACAGTGCACCGAGCACTTTGCCTGCACTCTGCAAACCAATACATCTACTGATCCTGCAAGGGGCCCGCGAGCCAGCTTGAAGCCCGGAGGCCTTTCATCCTGGGGACGTTCACTTGCCCAAATGCCCAAGGACCCCATCTGCCTGCTTTCTGCCTCCTAGAACTGTGACACACCCTGATGCGCCCTCATAAGACAAACCCAAACCCCTGCCCTTGCTTCTTGCCTGGCCTTCTCCAAACCCCAGTGACATGTCATCCAATCCCAGTCTACACCGACATCTGCTCTTGGCTCAAGCTAGCCCAAGAGAGCTGCCCCTCTGCAGGCTGCAGTCTCTGGCCCCTCAGAGAGATGCTTTCATTAACTTTTGCCTGAAGCATGAGGCCTGTCCACACCAACGACTATGAAAATGGCACCACAAACTTTTAAGTGCATTTGCTGTAGGGACATATCAAGAACCCCATCCCTTCTATCCCAGAGGGTCCCACAGGAGGAAGCTTTCAAGTCTCAGGAACACCGTGTGTTCCTCTGCGGCTCTTCTGCCTCTATCCCATAGATACCGTGCCCGCTGCCCAGTGACTGCAATAGCTTACTCTGGGAGCTGCTTGGAGGCAAATTGCCCACCTCCGAGCTGGGCTGTCTTTACCAATGCCTGTGCCCCTACCTGCAGCAAGCTGCTTCCGGAAGCGGGGCAGAAGGAACGGAGGGTTCACAAGGACCAGCTTGCCGATGCACTCAGCCACCACCCCCCGGGTGCCCTCCTCGGCACCCTCGCAGTGCTGGAACAGCAGGGCCCAGATGTCCTCAGCATAGGGCTTCAGGCTGTCAGGCTGGGCAGCCCCCAGGGCCTCCCTGAGCGAGTGCAGCAGCAGGTACTGCCGCCGGGGCTCAGCCTCAATCTGCCCCAGCAGGAAGGGCAGGAAGTCGGGCAGGTTACCAGCGCCAACGCGGCCCAGCGCATATGAGGCTGCAGCCCTCACATCCTCACTGGGTGACCCCAAGGCTTCCAGAAGCACTGCCTTCAGCTCCCGCTGGGGGCCTGGTCCAGCCACTTGACCCACCTCGGCCAGTGACAAGAATGCCAGGACCTTGACCCCCGTGCTGGAGTGGGGTGACCTGGCATCACAGACCAGGCGGTTGGCTGTGCCTGCTGCCTCCTGGGGACAGGCGGCTGAGAGGGCTGCCACACACCGGGCCAGCGAGTGGAACACCTGCTTGTGCAGGCCTGGCCCACCGTCCACAGCCTGGTCATAAACGGGAGCAGTGAGCAGGCTGATGAGTTCAGCATAGTCCACACACGGGGGGCGGGTCCCCACCAGAGCCTGCAGGAAGCCTTCAGTGGCTGCCAGCACCCCAGCTGGCAGCAGGGGCGAATGCAGCAGCCGCAGCAGCTCTGAGAGCACAGGGCCGCTGACCTCCGCCAAAGAGGCCGGCTGGGCCTGGGTGACTGTGGCAAGGAAGTCCACAGCCAGCTGGGCCACATGCATGTCACTCTCATTGACCAGAGCAGGCAGCTCAGCCAGCACGGCCCGTACGGCGGACGGTGGGAGGCTGAGTCCCTGGCTCTGGGCCAGGGCGTCCAGGGCAGCCAGCGTGGCCAGCCGCAGTGCCCGCTGGTTCTTGCGCAGGAATGAGGCCAGGATGGGCAGTGCCTCAGCCAGGATGAGCTGCAGATCGAGCCGTAGTGGGGACACAGCCACCAGAGTCAGCGCCTTGACGGCAGGCAGCCGGGTGATCTCATTCCGCAGGCGATCCAGGAGGAGCAGTAATGTGGGCTCCAGGTCATCCCCTAGTCGGTCACCCAGGTGACCTACGAGGTGGCCCATGCAGGAGATGGCCCGCTCCTTTACCTCCTGGTCTAGGTCAGTGGCACGGAGTCTCGCCAGGGTGGCCGTCGACATCTCTCCAACATATGGCTCGGGGTCCAGCACCCGAGGCCTGTCCAGCGGCCACAGGGCCCTCACCAGCTCCTGTAGCACCAGCAGGGCCTCAGCTGCAATCTTGTAGAAAGGGTCGGCCACACAGGCCATCACAGGTGGCAGGAGGGCAGGCAGGTGTGGGTGGAAGGCCTCGGCCGGCTCCGTGCCCAGTAGCCCCTGCAGGAAGGCCAGGGCATCCATCCGGATGGTGGAGGAGCTGGAGCGGTCGGCCAGCGAGGACACGATGCCTGCAGGGTGGGTGCAAAGGTTACGTGGACATGGACCCTGACCCAACACAGCCCTCCCCAGAAGCAACTGGAGCACCCAGCAGGTGCTGGGCTGAAGCACCTAAGCTCTTATGCAGAAGTTTCTATGAACTCCGTACTTGACCAGTGGCCAGGGCTAGGGGAAACAAGGCTGGGGAAACCCATGTGAAATCAGGAAGTAGGGCCTGGAACCCAGTCTGTTCTCACTGCAGGCAGTGGGGAGTTCCAATAGGCTGCTGGCCTGAGGTTTGGCCTGGGACTGGGGCCCAGGCTCTCTTGGGGATTAGGGGCTCAACTCAGGGCTGGGGTCTGGGTTCTGGAAGAGGCCCTGAACAGCAGATGCCGGGCTGGAGTCCAGCCTACCTGATACCAGCACGGGCATGTGCTCTGCCAGGCTGCCAGGGAGGACGCCCGCCAGCTCGGTGAGAAGGCTGAAGCAGCCCTGGCGGGCCCTGATGCTCCGATCTTTAAGCTGCCGCTGCAGGGCCTTGATCACAAGCGGCACCTGTGTGCAGGTGGGGGCAGTCAGGGACCACCTGGGAACCTCCCCACCCACCCACTGCCAGGGACCTTGCCCAGGCACATCCCCGGGGAGGACGCCCGGTGTGGGGAGGACATCTCCCAAGCACTCATCCCTCACTCTATGCCAGATGACCACATGCAGACCCTCAGGTAGGTACTCCTCCTGTGTCCCTTTTACAGGTACAGATAGATGAAGTAACTAGCTCGAGGTCACCCAAGCAGTCTGGCTGTCACAGAGACCCAGCTGATCCCACCCCACGGGCCCCTTCCCTTCCTCGGCTAGGTCCTCTCCCCAGATGAGCTTCCAGCGACACTAACTGAGCAGGTGAGGGGCGAAGGCATGCCCACCTGTCCACGCAGCATGTGGAGGTTGCTGCCAGTCTGGGTGGGCTCTTCCACGGCCTCCAGCCACCCCTTCGGGGGCCGCGTTTGCCGCAGCAGCACGATGTAAGCCCCAAAGACATCGGCCTTGACATTCTCCTCACGTTCCTTGAAGCGGCTGATGAGCGCGGGTGCCAGGGTGCAGTGGAACTCGGGCAGCAGGTCGGGCCGAGAATCAATCAAGGCTGCCAGGCACTTGGCCGCTGCCCGGCGCACCTTCCAGCTCATGTCGTCGTCGTCACTGTACTCATCCTCACTCTCTGGAGCGGGAACAAGACGCCCATGGAGCCCCTGTCTGCCAGGACAGGTGTGTGGCGCAGGGGAGGGGAGGGAGCGCCCACTGTGCTTCAACTCCGGACGAGCAGCATCTATACCCTATGAGGAACGGCCCTGCCTTTCCAAGAACACCTACTGTGTGCTAGGTATGGCGCTAGAAACATCAAATCCACAATGTCATTTTAGCCCCACGACCACCCTGTGGGACAGGGATTATTTCCCCACTGCAGAGATGAGCGAACTGGCGCTGAGAGAGAGGAGGTGGCTTGCCCCGAGTGAGGGAAATATGCAGTTGAACCGGGGTGCCCCCTCTGCCTCCGGACTCTTGTTTTGACTACACTAGGGAAAAAACTGACGTCCAGTTCTTTAGTGAGGACTCAGAGAATCCATTTTGGGCACAAAACCCATCCTTTGCTTTCAGGACTGGCTTGTGATGTTTCATTTACCGGGATTCCCGAGGGGAGAGGTGACAGGGCCTCCCTTTGGCCTCTTCCCTGCCCCAGCCCCGGCTCTCAAAGGCTCCCATTCCAAAGGCTTCCGAGCAGGATTAACACTACGGAAATGCCGGCTTCGTGCGGCTTTCTGTTCCACAAGCTCCCCGGAGAAGCAGGAGCTCACCAAGTCTTTAGCACCACGTGAGACATGAACGTGCAGCTAAGCCCTATTTTACAGATGACAAGACTAAGGCTCAGAGAGGGTGAGACTCTCCCAAACGCACACAACTAGGAAACAGCAGAGCTGAGATTCAGGCCCATGACGCCCACCCATATCGCCTGGGGGAGACACACGAGGCTCCGAGGGATGATCCTAACCAGGAGCACCCTGAAGGACAGGCTCAGAGGCCAACATGTGCCTGGCCACGCCACTCCGTTGACAATTTAGACTCTCAGAGCGCTTGCATCTGGACAGGCCACAGTGGGCCACATCCAATGGGCAGCTTGGCAGACATCCCCTCTGATGCACTGCTGTTTGTTACCATCCTAAGCCACCCACAAAGAAATATCTACAGCTCCCTATTACCAACAAGAAAATGTCCAGACTCCTTGATTTGGCATTAGAGGCCCCAACATGCCTGTCCGAGCTCGTCTCCTACCATCGCATCTTGTTCCAAGTACCCCATCGGGCCCTAAGTGTGTCATCTTCATCAACACCCCTGCCTTCAGGTCTCAGGGCATCTCTGCCCTGGAAATTCATCAGAGTGACGTACAGGACCACAGGCACAAGAGGAAGGAAACCACTGAGGCCAGCCCCATCCAAATATCTTTCTCCCTGTCAGTGCCTACCAGCCCGCTACTAGAGCCTCCTTCTGCTTAGTTAAAAGCATTATCTCTTAAGAGCCATTAATATTTAATAAAAGGGTACAGAGACAGCAGCAGAGAGGTGGGGGAGTCTGACAGACCTGGCCTCAAGTCCCAGCTATGCGACTTCCTAGTTGTGTTATCTCAGTTAAATCTCTTCTCAGCCTCAGTTTCCTTGTCTGAAATATGTGGATAATAATACCTGTTTTCAAGAGCTATTGTAAGGAACATAAACACCAGTAGATGTTCAATAAATGACATTGATTACTACTGTCATTACTGTGATCTGTGCAGTCCGAGTGGGTGGGGATGGAGCCTGGCAGCAGGACAAGGACACCAAATGTGGCCTCTGCCCTGCCTTTGGCTGGGGGATCCGGGGAAGGCTATGCCCACCTCCACCCTCCAACCCCAACGACATGTTGTCCACGCACCTTGCTCACTGAATTCGCTATCTTCTGTCTCCATCTGCTCTTCATCCTCGTCACTGTCATAGTTATAGTTGGGGTCGTGCTTCAGGTATTGGAGGCAGAGGCTGGTCACGTTGGGCATGTGAGGGCCCATCTCCTTGGGACACCTGTGGGGCAGGATGGGGGAGGCTCTGCTGGATCCAGGCAGAACATGGGAGCCAGGGGCCAGGGCCCAAAGGTGAGTCCTGAGATTTTACTGTTTTGAGGATCCCATCACCACCAATTTCCCAAGAAATCCCCAGGCAACCCCGCTACACCTACTTCCTCAAGAAGGCCTCGAAGGCCTGGAGGCAGGACTCGCGGAGCTCATCATCATCCAGGTTGCAGAAATCCTCTACCAGGGGCACCAGGCGGTCCAGGTGGGCCCCTGCAGGGCCAGGTGGGTCACTGAAGCCAGGCCAGATCTCTCCTGGGGTTCCCCTAGCCCACAGCAATCATTCTGTCCCTGCATCTGCCACCCTGACCATTGCAAATTCAACTCAGGGTCTTCACAGTCTACCAGATGTGGGTTCTATCCCTGACTCTGCCACCTATACACTATGGTACCCTGGGCAAGTCACATCACTTCTCTGACCTCAGTCTACTGATCTCCACATTAAGGACAACAATGCCTCCTGGGCACAGTAATATTAAATATGATACAGATAAAGAATTTAGCCCTGGTCCTGGCATAGAGTAGACACTCAATAAGTAGCATCTGTTGTTAAAACCATTATTCATGTCCTTGCCTTATTTCTTACACTAGGTTGTAAGCCCCTGGATGGGAGATGGGGGGAGGCAGGTACTGCCCTAATAGACCAGGCAAGAGGAGTCCCTGCCTGGTCCCAAAGCTTTAAAGGATCCCACCCTTGCTTTGCTCCAGCCATCCCCTTCCCCACAGTGCAAGAAGGGGCATGCTGACCTGGAGACCCCTAACACGTCCCTTCTAGATTGTGCTCTGCCTAGGTACTTGGGACCCCAGAGTTCCTGCCCAACTGATTCTGAGTGCTTGTCCAAGCCTATGCAGGCCTCTTTCCCAGGCCCATGCTCCCAAGGGTAGGCAAGTATTGGTTGCTGTTTGGGGTGGATGGGACAGGGAACAGACATGCTGGCTGGAGTGTCCCCTTGCAGTGAGAAAGCCAAGGGTTGGAAGGGGCTGACTGTGGGCCAACACCATCCACATTGTCTTGTTCTGGCCCAGAACTCCAGGTGTCTGAGGATAAATTCAAACCTCATTGCAGCTTTGCATTTCCAAAAAACTAATCTATAGGGACAGAAAGCAGATCAGCAGTTACCTGGGGTGAGGCAGGAGGGACAGACTGCGAGAGGCACAAGGAAACTTCTGGGGGTGATGGAAATGTTCTGTATCTTGGTTGTGGTAGTTTCACAGGTATACGCAAAGGTCAAAACACACTGAACTGTATGCTTTAAATAGTGTGGTTTATTGTATGTACATTAGCCCCCAGTAGTTTTTTAAAAATCCAAACCTGGCTCATGGATTGTTATTGAACTGTAATTGTCAACATCATAGTTTATTTCATAGTTTAGTGGCATGATTTATAATTATAATAACCCGAGAGCCTCCAGGTCTCAGGAGGGTCTGATCCAAGCCCCTTCCATGGAGGGCCTGCACTGCTGCAGGGGCTCAGGCCACTGAGCACAGGGTACGCCCCGCCTCTGGCCCAGCAGGGAGCTTCAGCCGCAAACCCTTGCCTAGGAGGTGGCCGACCCCCGGGCCCCGCCCCTCGCCCAGGGCCCCGCCCCTTACCGAGCCGGTGGCCGGCCTGGCGGCCAACGCTGCCCAAGCACTGGATCAGGGTGCGGATGGCGGCAGGGCTGGCGGGTGCGCGGGGGCCGGGCAGCCGGTCCAGCAGGTGGTCAGCGAGCTCCACGAGGAGGTCGGTGCTGCAGGCGGCCGCCAGGTAGCCGAGCGCCCCGACCGCCCGCTTGCGCACAGCCAGGCGCGGGCTGCTGAGCTGGGGCAGCAGGCAGTGAAGGAGGCTGGCGTGGAAGGCACCCAGCGGGGCGCCCAGCCTGGGGGAGCCGGAGGGGCGTCAGGCCAGGCCCACCCGCGGGCAGCCCCAGCCAGGCACCCCCCTCCCCATCCTCTCTTGGCCTCCTCTCCAGAACTGTGACAACCCAATGACCCCTGGAAAACAGATGCCCTGCAACCGTCAGGAGGAATTACTTAAATTATTTATTACTGTTACACAAGAGAAAGCGGAAAGACAGAGGAAGTGACTTCTCAAGGCTACGGAGCCAAGAAATGCAAGGCCAGGACTTGAACCCAGCTGTCCAGGCTCCCAGCCTGGGGAAAAGGCCCAGTGGTGACAGGAGGTGGCTGTGGGGGCTCCAGTGGGGCTGTCCCAATTTCCTGGGAGTCCAGGGCTAGCCCCAATACCACCCTCCCACCGCCAAGTTCATCCTCCTCACTGAGACCAAAGTGGTCTAAAATCTACTTCTGACACAGTCACTCCTCTGCTTAACTCCTTCCATGGCTCCCTAGTGCCCTTCAGATAAGCTGAGTTCTGGGCTCAAGACAAGAGGCAACACCAGGGAATGGCTTCCGCACACACAGGACACAGCCCCCTGCCTGCCTCAGCAGCTTCTATGCCCACCTTCAAACAGGTCTGTACCTCTTCTGTCCCATAAACGTCCCGAGGCCTTTTCTCCTCTCACTCCACACGAACTCACTGCCCTTACTCTCCCACATCTCTATGTCTGCCCACACTCCTCTCCTGGTGAGGGTTTCATTTTCGTATCTGTTCGCCTACTAGGGGACAGGGGCTGTGCCAGAAGCTGGGGTGAGCAAGGCAGACTGGCCCCGGCCCTGCCCTCAAGGAACGCATGGCTGAGTGGGTACCTCCAGGCTCCTCAGATTCAACATGCCCCAAACTGAATCCATCACCTCCCCACACACCTGCTCCTGCTCCAGCGTGCACCCCACCCACCACAGCCCCCGTCTGTCCCCCAGCTACTAAAGGCAGACCCTGGGGATCATCCTCAAGTCTCTGCCCCTCTCACCCACTCCAAGTCCTGTGGCATCTACCTCCGGAATACAACCTGAGTTCCCCTGCCTACAGAAGCCTCTTAACCGGTCCCCTCCTGTTCAGTCCCTCCCAACTGCTCCCCACAGCGCAGAAAAACACTGTGAAACACAACACGGCTCCTGCCCGGCCCTCCAGCCTCGCCTCTCCAGCACAAGCTGCGGTGCCCCATGTCCTCTTCTGCCCCTCCCCTCTGGGCCGGGCAGTCTCCCCTCCAGGGTTCCCCTTACGCTACCCAAACCTGGCTAGGTCCTGCTCCCCACTCACCCCGTGAAGGCTCAGCTCTAGCGGGACCCTCTCTAGCAAGGTTCTCTGCCCCCAGCTGGGTTGGGGGGCTCCTGTAAGCTCCTATCAGCTGTGCTCTTATCCTTATTGTTGCCCTGACTACATTCACAGTTTTATTTTATTTAAGAGACAGATCTTACTCTGTTGCCCAGGCTGGAGAGCAGCTGGGAATGGTGGCCACCACTCCCAGCTAGTTTTTTTTTTTTTTTTTGTAGAGATGAGGTCTCGCTATATTGCCCAGGCTGGTCTTGAACTCCTGACCTCAAGTGATCCTCCTGCCTTGGACTTCCAAAGTGCTGGGATTACACATGTGAGCCACCGTGCCCAGTGAACAGTTTTATGTGTCTGTAAACCCGGTTCCCTAGGAGCAACCGAGACTGCTCCAACTCCGTATTCCCAACACTAGTCCAACACCTGACATTTTTCTGGCTGCAGAGTAGGTGCTCAAGTTGTGGGAAGTTTTACAGAGAGTGTGACCTCAGGCAGCCCACGTCATGTCTCAGAGCCTATAAAATGGTGAGAATCAAGTTTTCCTTTGCAGGGCTGCTGGGATGATTAAGGGGCCCTGAGCACAGGCCTGGTGTGCAGCAGGTGCTGGCTCTGTGGATTAGAGTCCCTCCCGGTCCCCCTGCAGCCCCTCCTCCTCATTGCCCAGGGTGGCCTCCTGCACCTGCTCAGCATATCAGAAAGGATGTCCAGGGCTTCCAGCTGCACAGCCACATCTTCCTGCTGGGCGATGGCACTGGTGAGCTGGCCTGTGATCTTCCGGCACACGTTGGTGGCAAGCCCGGAGCCTGCGCAGAGCACAAGGCAGGCACAGTGAGGCCCTGGCCTGGGGGAATGGCAGCCTCCACCTCTGGCCTGCCTCTGCTCTGGCTGTGTTCCTGAGCCCACACCCTGGGATCCCGCTGACCCAGGGAAGCCAGGGCTCCAGTGGGCCAAGGTTTGACCTTGAGTCCAACCGAACTACAGGAGACAGGTAGGACAGCTGAGGACCCAATGGCCGAACTGCGGGGCTGGCCCCTTCTTCCTTGCCCACTTCCACTAGGGAGGTGAGAAAAGTTAAACATTTCCTTTCCTGCCTCCCTTGCTCTATAAGTAGAGGTCTTCTGGGGGCTTCTGGAAAAACATGTGCTTTTCTTGTAAGGGGGAGGAGTCATGAACAAGAGACCTCGACCTTGTCAATACTGAGCCGCTAAAAGAATTGCTGCAGAAATGGAGCGGCTGTTTCCTCCAGAATTACCATGTAAGAAAACCCCGATTCCTTTAAATTGTCACTGCCTAGATTTCATTGCTTGAGCTAAAAGCATTCCTAAATGACACAGAACCACGAACTTAAATTGATCTAGGTCTGAATCCTCTGCCACCTACTAGCTGAGTGACCTTAGGGAAGTCCCTCCACCTCTCTGAGCCGCAGTTTTTTTAACCATAAACTAGGACAAATGATAATAGTGCCTAGTCCGGGGGCCTGGGTACCTGTGGCTGCAGGGGGGAGCTCCGAGAGGACGGTCTTGAGGCCAATGCCCGCGATGTCTCGGAGCTGCTCCTTGTCTGACCGCATGTTGGCACAGAGGGCATCCACGATGGTCTCCACCTGGTACTCCTTCACTTTGCCCACCAGAGGACCCAGGCTGAGCAGGGAGGGAGGGAGGTGAGTCCAAAAGCCCCAGGCTCAGCGTGAGTCAGGCTGCCCCTGTATGTCCCCTCATGCTCCTAGAGCCGCATGTGATGAGGAAATGGCCTCAATCAACAGGGGACCCTCTGTTTTGCCAAAAAGAGAGGTACCCTCTGGCTATGTCGACATCATTCCTGGCACCTGGCAAACCTACATTCCTCCCTATGTTTTGCATCTCAGTAGACAGCCAAACAATGGTTCTCAAACTTGAGCCTATATCAGACTCCCCAGGACTTCCGAAAACACAGGTTGCTGGGCCCTAGTCCCAGAGTTTCAGATCTTGGAAGCCAATGGGGCCTGCGGTTGTGCATTTCTAGCAAGTTTCTAGTTGATGCTCATGCTGGTGGTCCAGGGACCACACTTGGAGACCCTCTGCCTTAGAACCTTGCTTCTCAAAGTCTGGTCATGGATCAGCATCAGCGTCACCTGGGAACTTGTTTGGGGTGCAGAGTCTCAGGTCCTTCCCTAGAAATACTGAACCAGGATCTGCAGTTCCGCAAGATCCCCGGTGATTTGAATGCACATTAAAGTTTAAAAACGGCTGCATTAGACTCCCTGGTTCTCAGCCTCGGCTGCACACCGCCGTCACCTGGGGCCTTTGAAAAATGTTTACCTGGGCACTGCCCTCAGAGTCTGAGTTAATTGGTTTCAGGGGTGGCCTGGATGGTGCAACTTTTTTAAATTCTCCAGGTTACTCCAACATGCAGTCAAGTCTGAGAACCTCTGCCCTAAATGAGTGGTTCTCAGACGTTGGTGTGCATCAGAATGCAGATTCCAAGGTGCTGTATTCTCATCCTTCCGCCCCAGCTCCCGCCCCCTTCCCCTCTCAATCCCTCCCCCACCCCCAATCTGAATCCCTGGCAGGGAATACAGTTTCCACAAGGGCCCCAGGTGACTGCGATTCAAACTTGTTTTCAAACCTTGGCTCTCTGACTTCTTCCTCCATCTAAGGAATCACGGAGCCCTCCCTCCCTCCGACCTCCTACAGCACTGTTTCCCAATCAGGGTGATAGTGCCATGGCAATTCGTGGGGGGCCTTGGTCATGTAACTATTGAGTTGGCACTTCTGGCTTTGATGGTGGGGAACAGGAACAATAAAAAGACAATATTGCAAAACAAAGCATTGTCCATGTCCTGCGAGAGTTTCTAATATCCCACTGGGCATTTATATGGGCAAAAGCCTTTCTATAATTATCTGAGTCTAAAATTTTACACATAAACGCAAAGTACTTTTTTGCTTTTTTTTTTTTTTTCTGAGACAGGGTCTCGCTCTGTTGCTCAAGCTAGAGTGCAGTGGCATCATCATAGCTCACTGCAACCTCCAATTCCTGGGCTCAAGTGATCCTCCTGCCTCAGCCTCCCGAGTAGCTGAGACCACAGGTGCACACCACCATGCCTGGCTAATTTTTTAATTTTTTGTAGAAATGAGGTCTTGCTATATTAGCTCATGCTGGTCTTGGATTCCTGGCTTCAAGTCATCCTCTTGCCTTGGCCTCCCAAAGTGCTGGGATCACAGGAATGAACCACCACGCCTGGCCTGCATTGCTTTAATATACTGTACTCAAGATTTTCCAAGAATGCAATAATCAGGAAAATTAAAGGAAGATTGTACTTTGTTTTCTTCAAAACTTTACCGGTTACCACTTTAAAAAATCTCACCACTAAGAACAATGCTGCTTGTGATACCTGAGTCTCCAACAACCCCTACCTGTATCCACTTCTGCTTACGAGTTCACACTCGGGCGCAGGCTTCTCATAATTTTATCATCATTTCTATTGTCACAGTGCCTGGGCATTCACGTACTGAAACACACACTACTTTACTATAAACTATGTTCCCTCTATTTTTCCTTTAGCTTACAGTAGGGCATTACATATACTGTTTTGTAATTATGTGTAGAGGTAGGTTTTATTATGTATAAATTTCATTTCACAATAGGAAAAAGGTATGACAAACTACTTGTTATAAAAAGGGGTATTGGTTCTGCTGGTGGGAAACCACAACTCCACCCTGCGTCCACTCCACGGCCAGAGAGGCACTCCCAGACCGCAAACCTGAGCATGTCACATTCTGCACAAAACCCTTTACTGAACTCCCTCTGCTCTTGGGATCCAGTTGCAATTCATTAACATGCCCCAGAATGCCTGGGCCCAGTTCCTGGGGTGGTTTAAGAGGCAGTGCCCCAATTCTCTCACCCTGTTGACCTTTGACCCCTGCCATTCTCGAGTCCCCTGCCCACCCCACCACACATGCATGCACGTGCCCTGCACATACCCCATCTTAGTTTTTCTACTCTGGAGGTAACTGGCCAAGATCTCAGGATCACAACCTCACAATGCCCAGGGCTGAGGCTTTTGGGACCCCCCCCTCAATCCCACATCCCCTAGCCCCTTACCTCTCCGGTGCATGTCAGCCTGACCCTCCGGCGAGGCTGCCAGCACCTGCATCTCTGTGTGAGGGCGTTCTCTGGCTGGAAGTGCCAGGAAGTGAATAACCCTCCATCCTGCCCCAGGAGCAGCCCTCAAGCGATGACTAACAGAGAGCAGGTGGATTCATACCCCAGCTCCCTCACTCTTTGGGTGGGAAAACTCCAAGAAGCATGTCCTATACTGTTTCCCAGAGGTCCCCAGTGGTCACTCGGTAACACACCCTTTACTGGCTTTCTTCCCTCCCCTCCCTACTCCCCTCCCATGTTTCCTGGTGACACCTGCAAACACACTCAGACTTGAAGCCTTATCCCAGCATCTACTTCTCGAAACCCAGACTAAGGCACCGTCCAGCAACAGCTGCTCAGCAATACTCCCCTCAGAGGCTGTACCCCAAAGGGGCAGGGACCCCTGGGGTGCTCCCACCCCCGGCAGGGCCCCTTCCCGTCCCCAAGCTCGACACTCACCACTTGACAGCCAGGTTCTGCACCTCCCCGTTCTTGTCCTCCAGGAGCCGAAGCAGCATCTTCACCACCTTGCGCTCGCTGTCCTCGTCCAGCTGGATGGAGTCCTTCTGCAGCTCAGACATCAGGTCACTGGTGGCCATGAACCTGGCCAGGGAAGGCAGAGGAGGACTGCCAAGCAGCTCTGGGCCCCGGTGGATCTGGGCAATATCTCAGAGCTCCCCAGAAATAGACCTCGATACGAGGATTCAGGGGCAAGGACAGTCATGCACCGCATAACTGTTTCCGTCACCGATGGCCCGCACATCCAGCAGTGGGCCCGTGTGGTTACAACAGAACTGCCCTGTACAGGTGTGCCATTTTTATCTTGCATACCATATATTTACCGCACTTTTTCTATGTTTCAATGTGTCTAGATAAACAAATACTCACCACCGTTACACCTGCCTGCAGTATTCGGCATGGTAATGCACTGTACAGGTTCGTAGCCTAGGTGTGTAGCAAGCCATCTAGGTCTACATAAGTACACTCTACGATGTTGATACCACAGTGAAATTGCCTAATGACACATCTCTCAGAACGTATCCCTGTCGTTAAGGAGCTAATGACTGGGCTCCCACAAGGAGATGCGTGACACCAACTGCCATACAGTGGCAGACTGGCAGTGGCTCAGCATGCTGGCTGAGTGCTTAGGGCTCCAGAGTCGGTGGCTCCTGCCTCTGGCCTTTATGCAAATGTGAGATTGGGCAAGTCATGCCACCTCTCTGATCCTTACTTTACCTGTCTGAAAAATGGGGATGAGAAAAGGGCCTGCCTCATGAGGTTGTCTGTGATGTGGTGAGCACTCAGTAAATGGCACTGCCGTTATTATAATGGCACGTTACATCATCCCCACCTCGCAACAGCTGGGAGAGGGATGCCAGAGGTTGAACAGACACCTTGTGATCAAGTCAGGGGTCGGCAAGAAGCCTCTCTACCAGACAGGTGGAGGAGGCCAAGCCATGTCCACCCCATCTCAGAGAATCAGCTCAGTCCCTGCCCTTAGACCAGTGGATCTGAAACTGTAGCTGGCATCAGAATCACCTGCGGGCTTGTTAAACCCTGCTGGATTCCACTCCTAGAGTTTCTGAATCACTAGTCTGGGCTAGGCCCAAGAATTTGCATTTCTAACAAGTTGAGGGTGCTGAGGGTCAGGGACCACATTTTGAAAACCATTGCCCTGGGCCAGGCTGACGGGCCACAGGCATATTTTGGAGACCAGTGCCAATAGCTAGCTGGCTCCCTGACCCAGGGTGGGCACCAGAATCAAGGGCTACCCACCTCCAGGTGGGTGGATCCATGTGACCTGATGCCAAAAGCCTGACACCCTGTCCCAGGCATTGGAAATTGCAAAGTCTGAGCTGGCAGGCCATGGAGAGTTGGGGAAGCGGGGACTGTTGGGCACCATTCCTGCCAAAATTAAGAGGGCAGAGCTGAGGTCTGAAACTGGTGGCCCTCAGCTGTGTCCAGCTTGCAAATGTTTTTGAAAATTTAGATTACTCATCAACACTTGAACACTGGGAGAGCTGACATAAAAATACCGACTTCCAGATTCTCTTGAGAACAGAATATCTGAATACGCTGGGCCTACAATCCCTGGTGACAGTAACTGGCTGGAGTCAGCTCCTGGCTGCCCTCTCTGCAGTTCATCAGGTCCCCACAAGGCCCACTTCATCCATTTCCTGGCTCTGGAGAGTGGAGATTTGCAGAGAAAACAGGACAGAGCCACATGCAGAGACACAAGGAGTCTGGGGCCAGAGAGTAGGGCACTGGCAGAGAAAGCCTCCAGCCCTGCTTTGGGCATGGTTGAGTTACTCAGCCATGAGTAACTGGCTACCCCCACCTCCTGTGGCAAAATCTGTCACAGTTGGGATTCCAGCCCTCAGGCTCAGGCTGCTGCTTGATGTCACCAAGGCTGGCATGTTCCCTGGGGAACTTGTGGGTGTCACAGCTATTTATTTTTAACAGCTGGATTAGCCTCAAGCTGCTGAGAGAATGAAGGAGGCTGGGCTGACAGTGACAGTGAGGAGGGGGATGGCAGGGCTGACTGTACCTATCTCTGGGCCAAGGTAAGGTCAAAGAAGAGGTCTGGATTTGAGGCAGGCCAAGGCGTGAGGTCACTCTGTGACAGCAGGCAAGATCTCCAAGCCGTGTTTCTGCTGCAATCCATGGGAGCCCAGCTCAGCCCAGCAACCCAGGGCATGTGCTCCTTTGCCCAAGGTGGGCCTCCTGCCCCCCTCTTTCTTCTCTATCTGTTGAACTCCTAGCCATCCGTCAAGAGCCTAGCTCAAATGTCCCAGCTCAGAGATGACTCCAACCACCGTGCCCCACAACCCGCCCACACTCCGTAAGTACAATGGTCCTCCCAGGCAGAATCCTTTCCGAGCATTCTGCACCCTTCCGTTACAGCGCTTCGTCCTCTGCAATGCAAGTTTGGTCACCAGAGCATCACCCACATTAGACTGCAAACTCGCGGAAGGCAGGGCCCACTGGGTTTATCTCTGGGACTCCAGGCTCAGCAAAGAGCAGGTCTGCAGAGGGTCTGGGGGCCAGGGTGAGGGCAGTAGGGGAGGGAGGGAGAGAACTAGCCCTTAAGAGAGCTTAGAGCCAAACAGCTGTGTAGAAACTTGAACTCAGAAACCAGTTCTTCTGAAATATGCCTCAGCATTTCGAACACCCCCAGGTTCCCACACACTCAGCTCTCAGAGGAAGAAAGCTGTATTGTAATGTGTGTGGGGGGTGGGAGGGGGGAAGTACATGATTTGGTGGATTAGCACTTGAGCATCAAAGTTCGGCTTTAAGTAAGTATACTGGTCTTGCCATTTATTACATCAACTGGGTGACATGGAGCAACTGCCTCTTCTCTCTGGGCCTCAGTTTTTCCATGCATCAGATGAGAATTTTCTCTGTCCCTATTCATAGCATCCTTGGAAGGTTTTAATAGGACAACCAACTCTTAGAGTAAGGCAGATGCTCAGATAGGCTCAGAGAGGGTACAGGAACTGCCCAAGGTCACACAGCAGATTGGAAGAAGAACCAGCCCACCAGACAGGTCTCCTGGCTCCCCAACTAATACTATTTTGTTTTCAAGAAATGATGTGGGAATTTCTGCAGGACCCCTGAGTTTATTTATTTTGCCTGTTGGGAGCCTCCAGCTCTTAGAGCCAGGACCCAGGAAGAAGAGCAATCAAAAGCTTTCTCTACCCGGCCCGGGACCCCCATCTGCAGTCACTTGCTCCCCTCCAGGAACCAGAGGACAGTGTCAGTTTCATTCCAGAGAAACCCTAGAGGCGACTCAGCTGAACCACTCGGCCATATGGGCGCCTGGACAGCTGGTCTGCAGGGCCCAGCCCCCCTGGTATTTGGACTTTAAAAATAGACACCATTCTCATATGCGTGGGGTGGTTTTAACCGTTCTTAAGGCTGCTGGCAGAGACAGGCTGAAAGGGCTTCTCAGGCTCTAGCTGCCAGGGCCAACTCCTTCTCCCGGAGACTGGACCCGAGGCCCGAGAGACAGTAGTGCAAATCCCCTCGGCCACTGGCTACTATGTGACCTTGGGCAAGTCACTGCACCCCTGTGGAGAACAGGAAGAACAATTACAGACAGACGGACAGACTGACACGTGGAATGCACATCAGGGAGCCCGCGGCCCAGCGAACATTCACTAAGCTACTGTGTCCCTAGCACAGGCTCTGGGGCGGTCCAGGAACTCAGGGTCTCCCCGGGCTGAGAAGTGACACAGCAGAAACTTGGGGAGGTGGGAAGTGAGTGGGAGCTCAGGGGAGGTGCCCAGCCCTGCCTGGGGTCAAGAAGCATCCAAAGAGGTGACACCTGAGTTAAGAGCTAGCAGGCGAAGGGGGGAGGTCGAGAGGGTGCAAAGAACTTCCCAGTAAAGGCCTAGGAGGGGAGAGGGCATGGCAGATTGCTCACGTGCACAGAATCATATCATGTCCATTTATGAAGTGTGCACCTCGGGCCAGCCACTCACCTAAGCATTTCACATGTGCGACCTCACTCCATCCTCACGCCAACCCTTTGAGGTGGATTCTGTTACTATCCCCATTTTATAGAAACAGAAGCAGAGAGAGGCTGAGTGGTTAAGTAACTTGTCCATAGGCACACAGCCAGTAAGTGATGGGAACCAGGATCTGAAGCGAGGACTGTGGCTCTGAGGCTCTACTATGTAGGGGCTCTTGTGGGGTGTTGAGGAATCGCAGGTGAGGGCAGAGGTCAGACCAGGAGAGCAGGTCTCACTCTCTTCATCTGTCAGGGGGCTGGATCTTGGCCTCTATATTAGACTGGCCCAGATTTGGACCCCAAGTCCTCCACTTCCTAGCTTTGTGACTGCACCTGGGTCCTTCATGCCTCTGAGCCTCGGTTGCCCTATCTGTAAAATGAAGGTAGAGTAATAATAGATTGTTCAGTAAGTGAGTGTGGCTAAGCTGGTCTCTAAGATCTCATTTTTGCTCCCATGGGCCAGAACTGGCCACGTGACCACAGACCCATCCCTTCTCCTCCTTGGGCCTCAGGTTCCCCAGAGGATAAAGGGTTGGACCGGATGTTTCTGCCATTCTTTTCAGCTCTATTCCTGGGCTTCCCTTATTTGGGAGAGGAGGAAGGAGCAAAAAGGCAGTGGGCAAGGGGAGTGGCACACCAGCACAGAAGGCCCCAGCTAAGCCATCATCCACCTGTGCACGCAAAGCCAGACTCAGCCCAGCCCCCTCCTGCAGGCTGTCGGAGGATCCCGGGGGGGACGGGGCTGGGTGATTTAAACAAGAGGGCAGAACTGAGGGTATCCGTGAAACAGTCGGCCTAGGCTAGCGGTCCCAGAAGGGGTCGGGCTTCAACGGGGAAAGAGGCAGGCGCCAGGGTCCCCAAGTTCATTCGGGCCGAGGGCTTCACGGTGGGCTCGCTGAAGCGGAAGGCCTGGGGGACCAAATGCGGGGGCAGACGACGGCTGGGCATACATGAAGGCAGAAGAGGCCGAAGAGGGGTGCAGAGGGGCGGAGCTGGGCCTCCGAGGGAGACGAGAGGCAGGGCTGACGCTGGCACGGCGGGGACTGGAGTCACCGAGCGCAGGCGGGTGGCAAGGGGAGAGGCAGGGCCGCCCTCCAGCGGGGCGACGCGGCAGGGGAGGGGTCTGCGGCCGGGGGTGCAGCTCCAGGCAGGGAGAGAGGCAGGGGTTGCGCGGCCATGGGGGACGGGCCGCGCTTCGGTAGGGCAGAGGGCCCAGGGCTTCGGTGGGGGGCGAAGAGGCGGGGGCCGGGCGGCGAGGCGCACCTGAAGTCCTTGTCGCTGGACGTCATCTTCTCCAGGAGGCTGGAGATGTGGAAGGCGGCGGCGCTCATGGTGGCTGCGCGCCGCGGGGCCGGCGGGCGGGAGCGAAGATGGCGGCGCCGGCGCCCCCTCCCCCGCCCGGCCGCGCGGGCCGCGCTCAGCGGACAGAAATAGCAGCCCCCGCCCCGCCCCGCGCTCGCGCCGGGCCGAGGCCGCCGCGGGAGGCCGGACGGGCGGGGGCGGTGTCCGTGTCCCGGCTCTCGGCCGGGGCCCCACCCCTACTCCGCGAACGGCCCAGCACCGCTTGCACACCCGCAGAGACGGGGAACTCACCACTTAACACCGGACAACTCCTTCTCCCTGCGATTCCTGTGCGTGCTGGCTCTGGACCCAAATGTTCATCCACAAGCATATGGGTAAACAAATGATGGTGTGTTCATAAAACGAAATTTTACATAGCAATGAAAGTTAAGGAATTACTGTCGTGTGCAACAACATGAATGAGTCTCAAAGATACTGTATTGAGCAAAAGAAGCTACAGGCAGGAATGCATACTACGTGCGCGATTTCCTTTGTGTGATGTTCAAAAACAGACGAAACTAGTCTTAAGGTGCTAGAAGTCAAAATACTTTGGCCCTAAACTAAATATGCAGTTTAACAAGGTTTTTCCCCCTATTTAGCGATATTTTTGAAATAATTTTACGAGTCAGTGCATATACTTTTACAAGTCAAAAATAAGTAAATAGCTGGGTACAGTGAGTGGCTCACACTTGTAATCCCAGCACTTTGGAAGGCCAAGGCAGTAGGATCACTTGAGATCAGGAGTTCGAGACCAGCCTGAGCAAGAATGAGACCATCCCCCCCCCACCCCCGTCTCTACTAAAAAGAGAAAAAAAAAATTAGCCAGGCATGGAGGGATGGGCCTGTGGTCCCAGCTACTCGGGAGGCTGAGGCAGGAGGATCGCTTGAGCCCAGGAGTTTGAGGTTGCTGTGAGCTAGGCTGATGCCACGGCACTCTAGCCAGTACAACAGAAGGAGACTCTGTCTCAAAAAAAAGAAAAAAAATTCTTTTTTTTTTTTCTCATTTTTTGCTTGGCTGTGAGCTTCATGTGCGAAGAAATTCTTAAGATGATTTGGATGCTGCAACAGCTGCCCTCTTGGGTTTAGGTGTTGTTCCTTCACGGAATCCATGCCTGAATCTGCAGTATACAATTTTTAGGTGCCTCATCCAACCTGTCCTGGTGGTATTTTGTCTTTTAGCCTTGGCACTTCAGTTATACCTTGTCTTGCACTTGGCAGGGTAGCCACATTTGCCACGAGTCGACTCTTGCAGGTGGAAGGCCTTCAAGCCACAGTGGTGGCACAAAGTATGCACCTCATTGCAATGATTTCCAAACAATGACATTTCCTTCATCATCTGGCTTCTGTGGCCCAGAACAAAGAAGAGCTTCCCTCTCTTCAGGTAGTCAGGCACCCACCCGCGCTCCCTCTATCTTGTTGTTCTGCCATGCCCTAGGGCACTCTCCCCAACTGCTTGGATCAGTGGTTTATCTGAGTCACACCCAGAGCCTTAAGTCCCAGTCGTAGTCACATGGCCATGCCTAACTGCAAGAGAGTCTGGGAAATTAGGTCTTGCTGGGCACCATGTTCCCAAGTACAAGTCTCTTACTAGGAAAGAAAGGAAGACCAGATTTTTGTGGATAACCAGCCTGGGCTCAGAAAAATTGTTTTTTGGGTGGACTCCTTATTAAGGGCCAACGAGGGGCTCAACTGACAGTCTCCTGTACCCCTCCCTCACTTCTGGGAGACCATCAGGACTTTTCTTTGGGTGTCCCCCACTTCCTCCATCCTTGTGTGGCAGTACGAGATCCTCTCTGTGAGAGCCATCTTCCTACTTTTACAGTCTCGAAGATTCCCATTGCCTACGGCGTAGAATTCCACATCCTTGGCCCGGCCTTCAGCCCTTCACCGCTGGGCCAAGCCTCTCCACAGGAGCCCCCCACTCTTCCCGGCCCAGTTTTTTCTAGTCCCCTGTCTGGTCACATGGGTTCCACTTCTACTCGTGTCATGCTGTGCTCACCACATGAAGCGCCCTCTGCCTCCTTTCCAGCTGTCCAAATCCCAGCCCTAGCTGTCCTTCAAGACTCAGCTCAAGTCCTACCTTCCTGTGAAGCTTTTCCAGAACCTTCTAAGTCCCTAAAACAAAAACAAGAAAGCACTCATCTTTATTGAGCACTCACTAGGTGTCGAGCATTTTGGTGGGTACTTTTGGGCACGATCTCACGTAACCCTCACGCCAGCTCTGTGAGGTAGCTCTTGTTATTCCGTTTTACAGATGGAGAAACTGCAGTCCCGCAAAATCCAGTGGCTTGCCAGGATGGCACAGCTAACCACAAAGAAGCCACAGTTGGGCTCCTGAGACGGCACTTCGAACCACTACACAATATTGCCCACGCACACCCCCTCCCACCCTTCCTTCCTTCTTTCAACAAGACCTTCTTCTAGTCCAAGCTTTACTCTGGGCGCTGGAGACCCAGAAATGAATGAGACCCTGTCCCACCCTCCCAGAGGGAGAGACAGACACAACTAAGGGAGGAATTGAGCCGATGAGCCCCTCCCTGCCCCGTGCAGCACCCACCAGCCCATAGCACACTTCTATGGGAGTTTTGACAAGATGCCCCTTCCCCTAGAAGGGCAGACTAGTCTAGGTGCAGACTTGTCAAGTGGAGGGCAGGCTGGGTTCTGGCCCCTTAATTTTATTTCCTTACAGTCAATTCCTAGGAATGGAATTGTTTGGTCAAAGGGAATGAATGTTCTTGAGACTTTTGATTCATGTTGCCACACAGCTTTCTAGAAAGCTGGGACAGATTTGCACTCCTACTTGCTGACTACATACATACCCATCCCCTCCAGGTGCACATATGTCAGGTATCATGCATTTATTTCTTTGCCAACTCGATAGGTGCAAAAATTGCATTTTATTGCTTCCCTTAGAATTTCTTCAATTCTCAACAAGAACTTTCTCCCCATGTACTGGCTGTGTTTCTTTTAAAAGAAATCATCCAAAGGGTTTCATGCATATTTACTGTATATCCATCATTTTACTATTTTAGGAATGCTAGGAGTTGGAGATGCCAAGAAGGAAACATGTGGGGAGGGCCTATGTCCTTGTGGAATTGCAATCAAGCAGTGGAGACAGATAAGGAATTTGAATAGATACCAGTAATTTACAATGGAGATAAAAGCTATGAAGAGCCAGGCAAGGTGGTACACACCTATAGTCCCTGCTACTCTGGAGACTGGGGCCAGAGGATGGATCACTTGAGCCCAGGAGTTTGAGACCATCCCGGGTGATACAGTAAAACCCTGTCTCAAAAAAAAAAAACCAAACAAGCAAAAAACCCCACCACCACCACCACCACAAAACTGTGAAGGGAAAGCATTGGGTGTCATGTTTCTTTTTAAAATTGCCTGGCGTGTGTGCTGTTTTGCGGGCTTTGATGCATATGGCCAAACCACTGTCCCCAAGGGGCAGGTGTGTGTGTGTGTGTGTGTGTGTGTGTGTGTGTGTGTGTGCGCGCGCACAGCAGCAGGGGAGTATAAGGGAGGCTTTGTTAAGCGTCAGCTCAGCAACTGCATTTTGTGTTTGTGACCCCAGTCCTTCCAGCTGACAGAGCAGTCCCAGCTCCTGGGCGGTTGGCTTGGGCTGATGAGCCTTCACCATGGGACGTGAGTGGAGATTTTAATGACACCATACAATGCTGTTTTCCTTCTCCTATAAAGCATCTCTTCCTCCTTCCCCTAGGGAACTAAGAAGGGGCTGCAAAGTCCCAAAGCTGGGGGAGCAGGGAGGGGAGCACCATGCTTTCCCCAGGCTCCCCTCTCTTCCTTCAGTCCCAAACACCCATCTCTAACAGCTGCCCCAGGGAGGACATAATTTCCGTATGTATTCCCCAGGCTTTAATGCGGGGAGGTGGGAGATCCTTCCAGGGGACTGTGAACATTCTGGACGAGAAACACAGCATTTAGTGTAGAGCCTGGAATCTTGGAGCAGCTACTCAATGAGAGTGGAGCCAAAACTGGATTGTTTGTGCGACACTAGGCTGATGGCAGCAAAGATACTCCACTCCCTGTGACAAACCCGGGGATGCTACTGTTTAGATGTGTAGAATCCCAATTCTTCTATATTTGTTGAGACTTGCCTTATGACTCAGTAATTAGTCAATTTTTGTAAATACCGTATGTGTTGGAAAAAAACATGCATTTTTTTAAGTGTTGGGTGCTGGGTTTTATGTATGTCTATTGTATCAAACTTCTTTTTCTTTTTTAGAGATGGAACCTTGCTTTGTTGCCCAGGCTGGAGCACAGTGGCGCAATCATAGCTCACTGCAGCCTCGAACTCCTGGGTTCCAATGATCCTGCTGCCTCAGCCTCCTGAGTCACTGGGATTACAGGCGTGAGCCACCACGCCTGGTTTATATCAAACTTCTTCATTGCTATCAATATTCCTAATAATTTTGTCTGTTTGATCTATTGCTTACTGAGAAAATTGCATTAAAAATTCCCAATTCGACAGTCAATTTCTTCTGGTAAATCTGTTATTTTTTGCTTGATATTAGGCATGCACACTTTTAGAATTATCCCCCTTATCATTACGTAGTGACTGTCTTTTTCCATAATAATGCTGTTTGCCTTAAAGCCTGTTTTGTCTCTTATAAATATAGCTACATCTGCTTTCTCTTGGTTAGAATATACCTGGCTTTTTTTTCCCCATCCTTTTAGTTTATGTCTTTCTGGACATAATGTTTTTGGTGTATCTCCTGTAAATGGCATAGTTTGATTTTTTAAAAACTTTTTATTTTGAAATAATTTTAGACACTGAAAAGTTGCAAAATAGTATGGAGAGTATCCTTATACCTTTCGCTTAGCTTCTTCCCCTGTTGTTAGCATCTTACCTTGCCGTGTTACGATGATCAAAACCAGGAAGTTAGTACTGATACAACACTATTAACCAAATCATAGATCTTTTTCAGATTTCACCAATTTTTCCAGTAATGTCTTTTTTCTGTTCTGGGATCCAGTTCAGGGGGTCACACATTGTGTTTAGTTGCCAGGTCTCTTTACTCTCTTCCC